GGATAATATCATATATTATATACTATTAGAAATATTTAGAATATGTACAACAGACATCAGTATGATGCAGATGTTTCAGTTTTGATATATAAGATTAGCATGTCATTGTTTATCATATGTAGAGGATACAAATTGTGCAACAAGCTAAGAAATGTCTACTTTATAGTTTATACTTGGATCCATATGTGACTATTTAACACGTGTTTGCTCTTTAGTTCCTTATTTCTCTTCTTCTTTCGGGTAGGCCCATTTTGTATTCACAAATTTTTCGGGTGCTTCTCTCTCTTCTTCACTCTTTGCATGTATCATCTTTCTTGTGTGCTTGAAGATTTTGGGGCATGACACTTTCAAATGAAGTTGAGACGATAATTTCACTTATTTAAAGGAAAAGTTGAACAACAATTTCTTAAAGCAAAACCTATCTCACATGCATAATGACATAAAATGTGAAAACTTCTTCATAAAATATTGTGTGTCAAAAATACAGATAATAACTCATTAAGTAAATGAATATTACCTAAATCATTTCCAAACATCATTAGTCTCCTATTGTATGATCATCCTCTCAATTCCACAATTGTAATTATGAATATGATAAACTATGGTGTTTTGGTATCGTCTGCCAGTCTGCTAATATATCAGAAGTTGCAATTCAAACAATACAAAAATAACGGAAGAAATTTAGATCATACTAAAAGCATAACTTCTATCTAAGAATAACTACTAAATACTAATACAACATCATCCAACATAGAACACTATGGTTTCCTACAAATCTTAAAAGCTTGAAAAGGGTGTGAAATTGTACTTGAAGGCTTGAAAATTAGAGAATCTGAAATCAATCATTTTCCGAAGTAGGTCTGTTTGTAGAAGTTGACTGTTTTTCTCGGTCACTTACCTCACTCAGCAATACAATTGTTAAAGCGAGTAAGGATCCAAAAGTTCTAATTGGCAAGTGTACGAAACGTTTTTGAATCAGAGAGGAGTCAAATAGTACACATAGTATATATTAATACAAAGTCAAGGTAAATTACCAAGGATTTGGTAACTCTTCATCTTCCATGACACAGAACAATTAGAGTAAATTCCTAAAGAAATGGTTGGACATATAAGTATGTCTACAAATAAAAAAAGAGCATATATAAAATCTTTCCATCCATATCCACATTTTACATATAAAATAAAGATAATGACCAAAAAAGTAAAACTTAATTGATTGAAGTAGCACCGTATACATTCTTAATACCTTGCCCCTTTCTTTCATAATTAGTCAGCAAGGAAGTTAAAAACATTTCATTAACATCCTAAAAATATATTATTTTAATACTAATTGGACAATCCGTTGTTGGTCATAATGTCTTTTGTGGATCTGGGGGATATGATCGACACGATTGTCAAAATGAAGCATCATAAGCTGCTAAATTATATATAAATGGACTCCAAAAATCTATTCGAAGATAAAATCATAACATCAACTAATATTAGATAGTCGAAAGTAAAATATTTTAACTTACAAAATAAATTAACCAAAGCTTGAAGAAACCGTTAAATTGAACCTCTGATCAAATAGAGAGAACCAACTGAAACGGGATAAGTAACGGCTAAAACAATGTATTAAAAGAAGATTTCTTTGTTTGGTATGAAGTAATTTTATACAATACTCATTAAATGTCGTGGTGCTACAAGACAGAAGTATGTGACTTCTTCAGTTGTCGTGCCATGCCGCCCCAATGCTATTTTCTTCCATCACCTGAAACAAAACATAATTAGTTTAAAAGAGTCCACATGCTCTTATATGTTATCCAAATTTCACTTTCATATGGCCCTGTAAGGTTGTATATATACCATTCACTTTTTTGAACCCACACTTTTGTAATCACCGTTTTTAAAATTACCTCTACTTCCACAATATATTTTCACAACCACTTCATGAGTAAATTATTTGTTTCCTTCATCTATTTATTTCTAAGGCTACTATCTTGTTGTCCAATGTGACATTGTCCGACTTTATTAGATGTATCGCCTTGTTCTCTCTGTTTCTTTGTCATTTTTCCACTTCTCATTATGTCTCTTTCATAAAACTTCTATGTCATATTTATAGCATGGGGAAGACAGACATCAAATAAATACTACTATCAATTAGGCAACATAATTAAAATGTCAATACTCAGTCTACTTGGCTAAAAAAGATAAATTTTGATTTAACAACAGTGTCATCATATTGAATCATCACTTGAATCTGAAAGGGAAATTCAGTAGGGAAAACAATAAAGAGTTAAAATATGAAACTATAGCAGCACATGCTGCTACCATCAGTGCATTTCCTATAAAAATGAAATGTCCAAAATAACATTGATACATAGCTTATAATTTTATATCTCAAAGAAATGATAGAATTTACTCATACAAATGGAGAAATAGAATATGCTTCTTATAGTCAGCAGAGGGAATCATATCATTCGTATCATTCCCGACTCAATCCAAACCGAAGGCATATTTTCATGCGGCCTACAAGAAACAGGAAAAAAGACATAGCAAAAGATCACTTTTACTTGATATATATTTGTGAAAAATAAATATAAATGCATAACATTAGAAGGGTTTTACAATCGTTTGTTATGAACACATGAAACAAAAATTTTGAGAAAGCATAAGATGATATGACAGACTTCTAGAACTCAATCCAGTAACAGAATTTTCAATATTAAAGTTTCAGCTTTTATCCAAGAACTGGTAAAAATAAATGCAACACCAACATCACGATTCATTGGCAAAAGTTTAAATGTTCTTAAGAAAATGTGGAATGGTACCTTAAAGGACTTGGAAATTGGAGAGCCAGAAATGAACCTTTTCACCTGATTCAACCTGCTTGTTATTCTGACTTTGTATTTAAACAATTTGTCTTTGAATATCACCTCAACTTACTATATTAGTAGTTGAATTTTTTCAAAAATGTAGTTCAAACAACAAAAAGATCAATACTGAAAGCTTACCCAGAATTTTCAGCATTACGTTATCACTTCTAATTTCATGGCAGCATCAAAGAATTCGGCAACTCAAATTCTTACTCAATATTTTTTGGGGAAAATACCATATGAAAAAAAGATATTACAAGGGAAAATGTCTATTCACCTAAGCCCACCGTTCAACTTCATTAGCACCTTCAATCATCTGCCAAAACAATCAACTCTTGTAACTAATCTCTCTTCATAACACACAAGTCTTACCTTCACAGGAAATTCCGGCAAACATGCTACCGCATCAAGCCATTAATTATCTACAAAAAGTATCATATATTGATAAGAAAATACTACTAATATTTTTTAGTATTTTAGAGCTAGAAACTGCAAAATATTGAAAACAAATTATGCATGTATTTCAAGAGGCATCTATCTGAACTCAAAAGAATCCGAGAAAAATTGTGGAAGACCTATAAATAAGAAAAATCAGTAAAATAATAGGAAGCATAAACACAATAATGGGAAAAAAAGAGTTAAAATTCACAAGGGAAGAGGGTCAATACCACACAAGAATACTTACCAGGTAAACAATTGAACGAACTTGAGAAGTTGGAGTGAGACTCTGAAGCAAAGTTTAACTCCGTTGAAGGTTTAAAATGGCTGTCAATGTTGTCAGCCAGAGAAGAAAGAGTAGAAGCAGAGGTGAGAGAGTGAATAAAGTGAATTTCCTATTTTAACCCTACTCGTACAACTCAAGTTCTGTTTGAAGTACACTTTACATTGCTTCTTGTACCTCATTTTGGTTCCCAACATGAGGAAAGGTTTCCAAATAATTGCTGAATTATCTTTTCACACTTCTTCCATGGGTGACCAAGTATGTACATAGTGGAGTTAAAATCATTGTACATTTGTCAAAATTGCCAATATTATGAAAAATAACCCAATACAATGAAAAACAATCAAGGATTGCAACTTGTGAACACAAATCAGAGACTTTACCATGTTTTGAATTACAGCATCTTCCAATTTCATTACATCAATAGCATCGTCTAATATCTCAAATTACTTGAACAATGAACATCCCAACCTTTTTCTTAGCCCCAAATTTCAAAGCCAGAATAGAAAGCACAATAAAACATAAGAGTTTAATAAATAATATACATTGTCACCTTAAATAAATACCCAATTCCGTTGCTGTATTTTAACCAATTTAAGATTGAAAATGGACTGCTGTTAGCAAAATTGGATAAAATTGACCAAAGAATCTCAACTCAAGATAAATTCATGAGAAAATGGTACCTCTTTCGGTACACAAGTTATTGTTTCTTTTGTTAAGTAAAATGATAATGTGGAGTGAAGGAGAATATCTTTATTTTAATCAAAATAGGTAAACAAAAAGACAAGTCAATCACACTGTTTCCTTCTTTGAATAGCTTAATAGGAAACAATCTCAAGATATTATGAATAGATATTTCTTTTTGTACTGCTAAAGTATTTTAGTATGTATTTTGTTTTACCAGTAAAAATCTCAACAATTGATGCTATTAAAATTACTGCACTCATAAATTGTAACTTTAAACTTTAATTATATAATAATGAGTATTAGTTTAAGTAAATCGAAGATGAAACAGAGGGAGTAAGTACCATGACTTCTTAGACCCTTTTTGTCATTAGCCTTGCCTCTAATAGTTTGGGGTTTTTTGGCCATTCTGCTAGCCAATTCATTCTCATGATCAGAAAAGTATAATTGTAAGTTGTTGGGTTTTTCGTTGGAAGCGACTAAATCATCTATGAAATGATACATATGTCCTTGTTCTCTAAATCTGTACATACCACAATTTCTTTTCACAATTTTTTTTATCGTACTTCACACCAAGCAATGTGTTCAACATATTATTGTATGTTCTAATCTATGTTCGAAAATGTTTAGATTCTTCTTTTGTATTCAAATTTTTGTGTGCCACAATATGAACAGTTAGGAACTTTTTTTAGAATCATATTACTCGCTTCGCTGTTCAGTAATAGGTGAAGTAGATATTATTGGAGTATCAATTTAGCACAAACCTTTCGATTGGAACTGTATTTAAGGCCGCATAATGCTGAGTAGACACATCCAACATGCACCCTTATGTGCAAACAATCACAATTTACAATAAAGTGATGATCAATATGCCATACTGAAAAATATAAGGCAAAGAGCTGGATTACCTGTTTCAAAGATAGTGAATAGGCTGCATACTTGCTTTCCTTTATCTAAATTGCGCAGGAATTGAGTCTGACATCGCGGCTGGCAGCTAGTAATCAAAATACATAACATGTTTAAAGGTTGAAGTTAAAATGTAAGTAGGCAAAGTTAGATAAGTTAAGTGTTATACACGTTGTTAGAGAAAATAGATTGGCAATGTTAAATTAGTAATAATGCAAAATATACAACAATGCGACGATAAATAGGCCATACGAAAACATAATGGAAAGAGCGGGCTTACTTTTTGAGAAATGGGCGAAGGATTGCATACTTTTTCCTTTGTTTAACTTGTCGTGGGGTTGAGTTGGTCGAACTTGGTGACTTGCAGCTGGCAAACAAAATACAAAAGATGTTCAAAGACAGACTCGGTTTGTACACATTGGCAGAGGGAACACATTGGCAACATTAAGTTAATAAAAGAGGAAACCTTTCTCAAAGAGCTCCGAAGGTTCTCAGATGATAAGTGCAGCCTGTTTTGGAAAAGGGAAAACCGTCTCTGTACCAAGATGATGTGGGCTGCGTTGGGGGTGCCAATAGTAGAATTTTCAAGAACATTATGTCTTGTTGAATACGTTTGCAGATAGCGAGATAGCAGCTATGCCTCCCTAATGCCAAAAAAATTCTACGGTTGACTTAACTGAAAAGGTAATTTAAACTTGAAATTTGAAAAGAGCAAAGACACAACAAAAGAAAGACCGGAGAAGTATAACTAAAAAGAGGTGAGATTTACAATTACCAGGACCAGGTGGATGAGATGGATCAGAAGACTTCGGGAGACGTGCGGCAACCTTTTATTCCTTTGTATAAATTCCCACATAAACGATGCTTGCCAATAATGAAACTCCAGCTAGTGCAACTGCTGATGTTACAACTATTATTTTATCTGTTGAACCTGCAAGACACTAATATCAAAATAGTTGATACACTTAGTCGGTACAGTACTTCTCATCAATAAATTGAATTGAGAGCAAGAAGGGATAATGGAGATATCAACACAAAAGAAAGAGAAGGAAAAATTAATCGACACTTGTTGCAAAGTAGGGAAAATATGAATGACCAAACATGTTAATAATATGCAAGTACGTGTTAAGATATGATGCTGAATGTATAATTACTTCAGATATGAAAACAGGTAGACTATCTACATCCATTTTTGTATGTGTGTATATATATATAAACACTTGAGCTACTGATCCATATAGCAAAACAAATTGAGAAGAAGCAAAGACCACCCCAAATAATGTATAGAAAGAGAGAACCAACAACAATATTGACTTAGTTTCTCTCTGAACCTCTAATGCAAGATCTTCCATGAGTTGTTGTGTGTTGCAGTCAATCCATGAAACAATAATAGCATATTCTTCACATACGATTACACCTCCCATTTCCGAACTCTGCTAACAATCAGATCATATATATAAAATACTTGAGCTACTAATCCGTATAACAGAACAAACTGAGAAGAAGCATAGATCACCCAAAATAATGTAAAAAAAAGGTAACAACCAACAATGTTGACATACTTTCTATTTGAACCTCCACTGAGAGATCTTTCATGATTTGTTGCATGTCATAGCCAATCCATGAAATAATAATATCATATTTGTTACATGAAGGTACAACTTCCTTTTTTGAACGCAGCTAACAATAATACCATAGATTAAAAATACTTGAGCTACTAATCTGTATAATAGAACAAATTGAGAAGAAGCAAAGATCACGGAAAATAATGTATAAAAAGAGAGAATCATTAACAATATTGACTTACTTTCTCTTGGAACCTCCATTGCAAGATCTTCCATGATTTGTTTATCTGCATAAAATAAGTATTCATGGATAAAATTGGATTTACAAATAGAAGATCCATGACAATAGCCACCACATTGTGCCAAGAAAGAAGTACAATGACAATCGATAAATTATACGTATTCAACAATATCCACAAATGAATCGAGCCTAAACTCAATATAAACAATTGTACAATCTCTACAATGTCAGCTCGGGTCATATCAATTTCACCTCTAATCACGACTGAACTTTATTGGTTTAATAATATTACTTAGTGAGCTTAATAATAATACAGTAATTGAAATTGGAGGGAAAATGTGTGAATAGAAGCCACCTAACAGTTTTAGATTAAAGAACAGTTAAAACTGAAAAAGATATGCTTAACAAACCATAGAAAATAGAAGAGAAAAAACTTTATAGCTGTAAAACCACGAAAAGAGTAAGCATATTCCAACAATGTCGGTGGAAATCGTGTAATACCAACAGTTTATTTGTGCCTTTTTTCTGTTTCCGAAAATCACCATAGAATAATTGAAACAACAGCTGCATTTCTGTATTTTCAGAAATACTCATGCATGAAGCAATAGTGCCTAATTGAATTAACAAATGTCAGAGTATTCATAGAAGTGTAATAAGCTTATTGTAAAATCTTTACCTGGATTGTCGAGCAACATTCCATGTTCCTTCATTTGACAGGGCAATGTAGGACCTTTTCACATTCGATGATACATTCTTAATTATTTGGAGGTGTGTTGATGTCTTCTCAAATTTCTACTTCCACATATAAAGTGCAACTCCAAGGTCAATTGGAATGGAGAATAGTAAGATTTCAGAACTTGGTGCTCGAAATCTAAATCGATGTTTCAACAATTTCTAATAACATATAAGAACAGAGGAAGTGTATTACTCTCTAGAATATAGAATCTAGAATATTTTATAAATTCAGCAAAGGAGAAGATGCAAGGATAACTGATTAAACAAGGTACCATAATATAATGTCTCTAAAAAAATTCCTAATTGGAATTTTTAAGGAGTGAAATTTTATTCCTCACCTAACAATAGAGTCACTAACAATACCGTTAGGAGTGAAATTTTATTCCTCACCTAACAATAGAGTCACCAACAATACCGTCAAGTAACTTCAATTCATCTCTTGTTTATTCCCACTGAACTGGAAAAAGTCCTTAGGTGCATTTGGAAAACTTTCAATAGTGTGAAAGAGACTTTTATCCCCTTCTTTTTTATTATTTTCCTTCCAAATCAACATCTCTTATAAAAGTTTTAGTCAGAATAGAGAAAGAAAAAGGAAAAACATATTTAAGTTAAGATACTTGGTACTGTAGAACACCATATGATTAACAACTTAAACTTAATAACAGTGTCAAATCACGAGTGAATATCACGTCGACAACATTTTATTTTTGTAAGTATTACATAGACAATATTCACAACAACTTTTCTTATCAAGTAACAAATTTTGTATTGATAATTGAGCAGAAAACAACCATATACACATGTTTATAACATAAACTGAATTCACCTCAAATATAACATCCCTAGAGGATAATAGAACACATTTTACTCCCTCCGTTTCAATTTGTTTGTATTCCTTTTCCTGTTGATTGGTTTAAGAGAATGTCTCTATTTTTTTAGCAACTCTTTATTTCCAACTTTTCATATGCCATGTTAAGGACCACAAGATCAAAAGGGGATTTTGACACATCCTATATATTTTTAGTTTAAGACCATAAAATTCAAAAGTCTTTATTACTTCTAAAAACATACATAAAACATGAATTTCTCCTTTCACATGATGCAATTAGACAGTGAAAACCGCAGGAAAAATCATATAACATGCATATAGAGCTTTAAAATTCAAAAGTAATGACAAGATTAGCATATTTGCTGGCCACATGCATATTAAACAAAAAACCATTAAAAATTTCTGAAAATTGAAAGCAGAGGAGTAAATATTATCATACCAAAGATTTTGGAAGTTGCACCTAGCGTAAGTAAATGATAAAGAATGATGAACAAAAGTGGTCATACGTGTGTCTCCTGTAAGTAGCAAATAGAACATGTATTATCAGCTGAATGAAGCGTAAGAATATTTGCAATTACCAAGTAGTACTTGTTTAATGAAATGGTTCCAAATAAAATACAATATACATTACTTTTGGTATAAGTATTTACCTTTAATTTATCAATATAGAAAAAAAGGAAGCACATAAATTCAATTTTTTTCTTACAGTCATAGACTTGACACCGTTTGCCATGCCAATGATGAGTAACCATTGTTGGAAAAAATCTCATTTTGTTTAGTCTAACATTTAGGGTTTACGAATGACAATTTTAGTACTTCGCAAAATGGTATGAATGAATGGGAAAAAAAGGAAAGACGAAGAAATCTACATCATACCCAGTTGAATTTTGAGGTCTTCGCTGGATTTTGGCATAAGAATTTTTCCATTGTACCCTCTTATAATAGGACCCATCAATACAAAATTGAGATGGTCTACAGTCGCCGAAGAAAAAGTGGATTCGACATTCAAATTTTGTCCATGCAATACCAACAAATTGGAGCAGCAAAAATTGAAAGCAATATCAAACAATCAACAAAACAGGACAAAGTTTAATTAACACTCCTGGAAGAAGATGATGAGAAAGCAATGAGAGCAAAAAAGTAAAGTGAAAGAGAAAATAGGATAGAAAGTTGGAGAAGATAAAAATGGAAGAAGAGAGATTGCAGGGGGAGAAAGAACTTTGAGGGTCCTTAGGCATACGCGTCGTTTTGCTAGGTTAAAGAAGCATATACACGTGTTAAAGAAGAAAACCCTCAAAAGAAAAGTGATCAGTAACCAATGAAATAGGTACACATTTATAGTACCACTGAAATAACCTTGTGTACAATCACTAATTGACTTTGATGAGGATGAACAGTGCACTAATTAATTGTACAATGAATAATTTAATTTGTACTGTATAAGTGGGGTCCATATTATTATTACTCGAGTGTTTATGATTTCCAAAGCAAACCACGCGTACCCCTAAATTTTGGTTTGACAGAGCTACTTTCAGTTCTTTCCACGTGGGTATACAGTGAATATAGCCAATAAAGTTGGGCCAGACAAAGCAAAAATTTAAAGGTTGCAGGGTACATTTTAGACTCCTAAAAGTACTCAATAGCCAATGAAATAGGTACACATTTCTAGTACAACTCATATTACTTTGTGTACAATACTTAGCTGCAGCGTTCGTCCTAGTTGGTGTACAATTAGTACTACCTTTAGTACAATGAAAAGATGCAGTGTTGGTCCTTTTGAAGTCCCATTTCTAAATAAGGGTAATATATTTATTTATTTATTATTATTTTTTATTTTTTTACCCTCCCCTAGGAGCTCCCACTCTTTTTGCTCCCTTGGTGACTCGAACTTGCAACCTTCTGGTTGGAAGTGAGGGATGCTTACCATCCGAGCAACTCCCTCTCGTCTCCATTATACTATATATAATTCCGAATTTAGTGTTTTAATAACTATTGAAAGTGATAAAACATGGTTTACTGGTGATTTCATATTTAACATGTTTTACTGGTGATGTTCAGTATATTTATATTTCATGCAAAAAGTTGATATAGACACCAATATTAATTGAATTTTACGTAACATTAAAATCAATCAACCAAACACAATATTTTTTAAAACGTCATGTCAGTCTTTCTTTATTTTTAAAAAATAAAATCGTATCAACTTTAATACTAATATTTACTCGACAAATATTTTCTTTTTCAGTAGGTAAACTATTCTCTAATTGGAGAAAATGGCCAAATGCCCCCTCAACGTATATTCGAATTTTCAACTACACACTTTAACTTCACGGGAGTCCTATCACCCCTGAACTGTTTAAAGATGAATTAATTATACCCTTAAAAGAATATAACCAGATCTATGGTGGCATGTGAGTTTCACGCGTTTGACACCTCATCAAATGTTTTTTTTTTAATTCTTATATTTATTTACCCTTTTCTTCTATATTCTGACCCATCCCTTCAAACACCCAAAGTACTTTCACCATTTTCACCATTACTAGAACACCATAAGTCCATGAAATTGGGTCTTTAAGGAAGAAAGGTGAATAATGATTTCAGAGCTTATCCAGAGATATTCCGGTTTTGCTCATTTGAAACCTAAAAATCAAATTTTTAAAAAAGTGAAGGCGGGAGAGAAGACGAACATGGCAAAATATTGCCATTAATGGTGGTGACCAAAGATAAGTAATCCTCTCAAGGAAGATGAGGAGGAGGAGCCTACGATGTCTTCCACGTCATCATCGATTGCGACGACAATTTCGAAGAGGAAGAGACTGATTCTACAACAGTTGATGAATTAACGAGATTAATAGCGATAATTTTTGAGATATAGTTTATTGATTGAGATTTGAGATTGATAATTAAAGGATCTATTAGTAAAATAAATAAAATTCGGTGGGTTCAATTGGGTTTGAAGTAAACCCATATTGATTTTTCTCAAATCGAATCCAAAGTATCTTGGGGTGATATAAATATATGTAGACTTATCTACAATTGATTTAGGTTGATTGATTTTGCAAGAGTTTTATGAGTTTGAAAATTTGTTTGGAATCAATAATAGTGAATTTGGTGAAGATGGGCAGCAAAACTTAGAAATGGTGAAAGATTGAGATATTTGTTTATATTGTTGGAGAAAAAAGAAAACAAATAAGAAAGATAAATAATTAAAAAAGCATATATATTTATTGAAAAGAGATATTAAAATTACAGTTTTAATAATAGATTTGATACTCACTCTCCCAAAGAGAGTGAAATACACTCACTATGCCAGATAAGCATTCAAGGAGATAATAATTTCAGTTTTAAACAGTACAGAGGGGTGATAGGTCTCCCGTGAAATTTAAGTGTCTAGTTGAAAATCCGAATATACGTTGAGGGGTCATTTGACCATTTTCTCTTCTCTAATTTACATGAGAATTTATACTCAAAATACTTAGTCAATAAATGAAAATTTTAACCTAAGTGAAAGATGAAACGATTTAAAAGACACGTAAAATTGATGTAAATTAAAGAAATAATTTACTCGATAAAACATGGAAAGCTGGGATTATCTTCTTTTTTTTTTGCCTCAACGTTTTTTTTTCCTTAACCAAAGTTTAGAATAATTTTAATGGTGACTCACCTTTCCTCACTTTTTTTGTCTTTTATTTTATTTTATTATACTTTTTTAGGTGGATAGCTTAGACATAATACTCTAAACAATGTTTGTCATTATATATTCTTGATAAGCATATTATCGTATACTATTTTTCTATAGATATATTTCAATAATGGCTCTTCACTTCATATTTTTCACATGAATAAGATGCATTGCTCCTAACTTTTTTTTGCCGCCTCTAAATAATTGTCCGAAGACTCATTCAGAATTCGAGCCCGAGACCTACCTTCACCCGGGACTAGATACCTCAGCCCCGACCCTCTACCTCGACTCGGAACGACAATAAATATCCGGGCCTTGACACGAGACTTAACCTTGATTTAGAACCAAGGCCGGCTCTATATGCTTTGATAAATAAGACATATATGCCTTTTGAGGGTTCAAATTCATTGAGGAAATTTCGCATTTAGCCACTAAAAATAACTTAATTAGGCTTTATAGCTATAGTTTGTTATTACGATTCGTAGCTACATGTTAGAGCGAGGAGAGAGGCGGGCAAAGAGTGGAGAGAGGTGAATTGTGTTTGTATATTTGTCGAATTGTATATGTCTATCTGTCAGATAATCATATATATGTAACTGGTACATATATGTATTTGTGTATCTGTAAAGAGTGATTAGGAGAGAGGCGAGCGAAATTGGGAGAGGGAGGAGAGAGAGCAGAGAGTGAAGAGAGGCAAATTGTATTTGTATATTTATAATTTATATTTGTATATGTATAAGAGAGGAGAGAGGCGAGAGAGAGGAAAAGAGGAGAGAGGCGCACATAATTATAGCTAAAAAAAAAAGATTGCGAGTGATAATTAATTTAAACTATACCAGTATTAACTAATTAATTAGTATATATTTGTTTATCCGCGAGCGTAATTTCCCCAAAAAAAATTTACTTAATTTTCCGCCCCTTAGTTAAATCATGGTGATCATGATATTAAATTAAATTAGAAAGAAACGTACAACAATAATGTCATAGATAAACGTGGTAAACATTTTAAGAATATCAAGTCACATTTTCTCTATAAATTCAACATCCAAATTAACAAAAAATCATATAACCTACCTAGTAAGAAATAAACAAAAAAAAATTAAAAATATGAAGATCATCTTATTACTCTTGTTTTCTCTTGCATTTCTTCTCTTATTTACCTTGGCAAGTTCCACAAATAATATACCAAATCAAGCATTTCGAACTATAAGGGACATAGAGGGTAATCCCCTCAACAAAAACTCAAGGTACTTTATAGTTTCGGCTATATGGGGAGCTGGCGGCGGAGGCGTGAGGCTTGCTAATCTCGGAAATCAAGGTCAAAACGATTGTCCCACATCGGTGGTGCAATCACGCAATGACCTCGATAATGGTATTGTTCAATAATATCAGTTATTCTCATTGTTCCAGTGATAATTAATGTAAAAATAATTTAAGTTTAGAAATTCATATTATCCTCAATGAGATGAACTCTTTCTTTGCCACAAAAATGTCTAAGAGTTTGTTTTGACCAAGTGAACATCTTATTAAATTAAAACTAATTTTTTACAAAAATATTTTGATAATATAGAATAGGAGTTTGTGTTTGATTCAAGTATTGAGAAGTGTGTTTACTAGTAGTTGGCATTTGGCTTATATTTTTTTTAAAGTACTTTTAAATGTATAAAAGAGAAAAGGAAGGTAAATTGTAGTTCTCATTAATTTGGTAGAGATGTTTTTTTTTTTTATGTGTAATCTTGTTGTTAAGAAATATAATTATTGACCTTCTAGAAGCTTGACAAAATAAGCTATATATACCATATTTGTTTTAATTTAAACTATAGCTTAGAAAAAAATTCCTTCCTTTCTTGAATTTAATGTCCAATCAGATAATATAGCATAAATTAAGACCAAAAAACTATTATATTATATTCTTATGTGTCTAATGACACCATTTAATTATTTCTAATTATATTATGTCATAACAGGTGTAGCAGTCTACATCACACCTCGTGATCCCAAATATGACATCATTAGTGAGATGTCTACCGTAAACATCAAATTCTATCTTGATTCTCCTACTTGTTCTCACTTTACCATGTGGATGGTAGATAACTTTCCTAAACCCACGGATCAATTATACACTATAAGCACAGGTGAACAGTTGATTGATTCCATGAACTTGAACAATCGATTTCAGATTAAGTCACTCGGTGGCTCGACATATAAGCTAGTCTTTTGTCCCCACGGAGAAAAATTTACTTGCCAAAATGTTGGAATTGCCGATGAAAATGGATATAACCGTTTGGTTCTCACAGAGAATGCAAAGGCATTTGTGTTCAAAAAAGATGAGAGAATTGGGATGGCAATCGTGTAATCTTCAAAATCTTTGCTTATTGGGTTGAACTCTTTTTTGATGTCAGATACTAGCTATAAATAATTATCGACTTCAAGAAAAGAGTAGAAGAATGGGACTACTGTAAACTAAATAAAAATAATGTAAGATATGTAATGCGTGCTTATTGTTAAAATGAGAAGAAATGTGGGAAATTTTCTCTGTGTATTTTATTGATCAATGTTCAATTCCATTTATACAAGTAGAAGAAAAGAAA